CATGGCCTGGGCTGAGGGGTCCGGTGCATTCGACTTTCAGCCTCTCAGGTTCACTTCACTTTTTGTTCGACGGTTGGGGCTGTAGGAGCCGATGATGAATGAGTCACGTGAAGGAAACTTTAGCTTCAGCTTCAGTTGGAGATGCTGATGGTGCAGAGGTTAGGTCAAGGGGTAGGCCCTAGCCCCCAAACCCTAAACCCTGAACCCTAAACCCTAAACCCTGAACCCTGAACCCTAAACCCTAAACCCTGAACCCTGAACCCTAAACCCTGAACCCTAAGCCTTACCCTAAGCCCCAAACTCAGGGTTTTGATTCTGGAAATCAGCCGAGCCCTGACAGAGTTGATGAGCTTCGCGGCTTTGGAAGAAGTCAACCTGTCGTCTCCATTCTAGCCTTCCTTTTTGGGGTTCCCGTGTCCGTAGGGCTTATAGGGTTTAGGGTTTAGGGTTTCTCCATTCTAGTTCCTTTTTGGGGTTGTCGTGTCCTTAGGGCTAGTCTCCATTCTAGTTCCTTTTTTGGGGTTGTCGTGTCCTTAGGGTTAGTCTCCATTCTAGTTCCTTTTTGGGGTTTCCTTATCCTTAGGGTTAGTCTCCATTCTAGTTCCTTATTTTTGGGGTTACCTTATCATCCTTGGGGTTTAGGGTTTAGGGTGTAGGGTTATTATATAAATGGTTAGACCAAAAAAACTACAATGGAGACCATAGGAAGGCTTGGATGGCCAGCACGTGTTTCGAGGGCTCCCAACAAGCCGACGTCGTGGAATCAAGGACCTTCGCCCCTTCAGGGCTTTCATCTCCGAGTTTCGAATTTCGATACTATAATGCGGATTTAGAGTGTTGGGTTTCGAGCCTTCGAAAGATACAGGGCGAAAAAATATACGAACTTGCCGGCTACAACAAACCCTTCATTCAACCACTTACAGCAGGACCAAGATTGGGTCGCGAGCCCAGATCACACTCGAGTATTAGTACTGCGGTTATTATTACAATTACGTATGGTTTTTGTTCTTATTGATATTACCGCTAATTTTATCTCATGTGTACACTCATTACTGTTGCTACTGTTACGACTAAGATCGCTCGCAATGGAGCTGAGCTTAAGGGAATTGGGGGTGAGAGTCTAGGGTGTAGGGCGCAGGTTTGGCTTGAATCAAAGCCTTCGTTCGTGAGCAATTTGGGTTGCAAGCGGGAAAGCGCAAGCAACGTCCACGCTCCAAATCCTTCCCAAATCCCGATCTTAATTTGCAGGAGATTTCTGGCAAAAGCCCAACGCAACCAAAGAACGCTAAACTTCAAAACGGCCCAGGCACAGCTCCTTAGTTGCTTAAGCCTGGCTGAGCCTGAACCCTGATCCAAACAACCCACTGACTCCAAAAACAATACGCTGTGGCATGACTGATACATACTACGGTTGATGATAGAAATCCTGCAGTACATTAAGGACCCTAAACTATGAGAAGTATGGGATGTTCCTTAATATGGGTAATGCAGGATTTATATCATCAGCCGTAGGGATCCTCCTTAAGGCACCACCAAAGCGCCGGTGGAGTCTGGGAATCCCTGAAAACCCTCCCTAAACCCTGAACAAATGCCGGGTCACCATGGCGTCGGGAGCGCGGCGTGCAGGACTGTTCTGCGGCTCTCTTGGTGGAAACACGCTGCGGCGGATTGCCCTAAATTATATTGTTTTGGACCGGAAAGTCAGCAAAGCCGTACACCCAAGTCCTAGTCCCTATAGGCCCTCATAACGACATCCCTAAACCCTAAACCCTAAACCCGCATGTTGGGCTTTTTCCCCCAAAGATCCCAGGCCGGGACCCTCAAGGATTTGTCATCGCATGTCAAAGGGCCTACGAAATTCTGCGGGGAGGTGCAGTACGATGAATTTTCGGGTAGAACAGAGAATAGAATATGAGCGCATCGATAATGACTTACTATTATTCCGTGGGGCTTCCTGCGTGTATATCTGTACATATACATACATGCATGCATGCATGCATGCATGCATGCTTGCTTGCTTGCTTACTTACTTACTTACTTACTTACTTACTTACGTACGTACGTACGTA